TAATCTCAGATATTTGTACTCTCCCTCTTTCTTCGATAACCATATTGTTTCTTGCTCTATATGATTGGCCAGACCCTATCCGTCACCCACCTCGAGACACGTTCTGACGCTACAACTCAAACACCGGGGGCTATTTTTGTGATTTACAAGCTTCTTATCCCTATAAAGATCTTTGTTTCTCTTCGGAAGTTTCCAAATCTGTTTCCAACTTCACCGATATTGTTCTTCAAGGTATACATCTTTTTATTCCGCACTCGAGAAACCCAAATCCTCCGAGGGGTATAACGACTTATGTGGTCGTGATGGTCGGCTAAAACACTCCGCTGGCTTCGCTGGCCCACCCCATACTCTTACCATTGCTTCGTGCAGGCTAGAAACAGGCTCTTGACAACCATTCACGCAACGAAAGAACACTTCTTTTGTTCTAAAGTCAAACAACCAGTCTCGTCAACCACCAGTATGGAGATAGTTTGGTTCCTTGCCAAAGCACTTTCCCGTAATTTCTGCCCTTCAAACTCCCCTCATTTATCTGTAATTCCATGAGACTGCCGACTTTTTTGCTTCCTGGTCTGTCGTCAACTCCATCTAACTTAATTATCCTACTCCTCCACCTTCTTCCTATTGATCTGGCAACCGTTTTCTACCTCATATTAGCACTAGGAAAATCCGTCAAACGTTGCGCTCTCTAAACGCAAACAAACCACCCGGTCAAGACAGCATTTCGCCCATCGTCCTCAAAATGTGTTGCCGAATTGGCTACTGTTTTATATCATCTGTTCAGTATTTCCCTCCAGTTTTCTTCTTTTCGAACCCTTTGGAAACACACCGTGATTTTTCCCATTCCGAAACACGGCAACCTTTTTGATCCTAACAATTACCGACCCAGTGCCCTCACATCTGTTCTTTCAAAAGCATTTGAAACTATCATCTCCGACCGAACATGCACGTTCCTCGAACGTGAAAGACTAGTGAGCAATCGCCAGCATGGTTTCCGACAGTGGCGTTCCACCGGTGCCTTGCTGGCTCTTGTCGGCTGCCACCGATGACCACGGATAAACATACATGATGACACTTGCAATATAAAAAACCTGCGACCGAATTTGGGGTGAAGGTTTACTGACGAAATTGCCCATGTCCCGCTTCCCTCCGGCTCTCGTAGCATGGATATAAAGTTTCCTCAATGAGTGAACCATCTGCGTCCAAGTTGATAGGGTTCGATCTCAGCCGTTCCCTGTGAATGTTGACGTTCCCCAATACTTGCGCCCACCCTCTTTCTTCTATTCATCAATGATCTCCTTTCCAAAACAATCAACCGGATCCATTCGCTTGCCGATGACGCCACTCTTCACTGCTCCCTCTCCTACCGGACTACTCGACATGCTCAAACCAAAAGCGATCGTGACCGTAGTGCAGTTGCCGTGTCACTGGACTCCGATCTTGAACAAACCTCTTTCGCGGGCAACGACAACAATGCTTCATTCAACGCTTCTGAAATCTCTATTCATTCAATTTCTCAAAAAAAATTCATTATCATCCCCACACACATAACCATCGTTGTCAGATTTCGGTTCCCAGGTGTCGTAATCTTCTTTACTCTAATCTTCTTTCCCTCGATGTGCTAAGCTGTGGGACACTCTAACTTTCTGTCCTTCCTCCAAACTACAACCCTTTACTTTTCAAACGCAGAATCAACTAACTGGATTCCACGTGAATGTTCCCCTACTCTTTCTCTTTTACAGTATGCCTTTTGTCTACAGGGATCTCCTCGTTTACTGTAATTTACATTATAGCAATGAACAGATAGTCCGAAATTCTATTGTTCGCTGAAGGGAA